CTACGTGAATTCAGAATCAATAAATTTGTCACGTTATTTGTAGATCTTGCACTTTGGCATTATTGCTTATCCTTACATCTTACAAGAAATCTGTACAGGATCTTTTAAAAGAAAGGTTTTAGAGGATGTTCTAGAAGATGGAATTCCACCCACCTTCTTTTTTGGCATCCTGCTGATACTTCATTCTGTGGAAGGAGTGAAAGGAATTGAGGAAAGCAGAGTACCATATGCCTTTTTGGAGCATACTTGGGTGACAGTCATGAACAGAAGGAGAATAAGAACAAGACCTGAATTCTACAAAATTACATCATCATAGCAGAATTGGCCAAGAAAAAGTAGACACTGAAATATGAAGCATGTTTGTGATTTAGGACAGGAAGGATGTAAATTTCAATCTACGAGTTTTAAAACTAGTTGCAAGTCAGTTTAAGGTTGCTTGCCTGAAATGAGTAGGAAAGCAATATTTGAAGGCATTGTGGCTTAAACACTGGAAGCTTTTGAAAGCTATGCTAGTGAACCATAAATGAGATTACTGCTTTATGTCAGGGCACATAAAGTTTAATCTGTGTTCATTTATCTTGATTATGCTTTTTGCATAGTCTAAAGTTGTTATGTTATTAAAAGGTATTACACTTTTTCTTTGTGACTTTAAATATTTACATTGCCACTTGGTGGCCTCATTTGATCAGGTAATAGATTATAAAAATATAAGTTAAGATCCTTTTTCTTCACAGGTTGCAATTCAAACCTTGATATATAATCTTCCTATACATCCAGGAACAGTATGTCCCTTTTTGCAACTGAATATGTGTATGCTGTGTTGATTGCTGTGGTTCTTGAGGGTCTGAATCACTGATGTTGAGGTGGTCAGACTTGAGAGCTCTTCAGTAAGGACAGAACTGAAGTGGATGACTTTTCTCCCCATTCTTCCTTGCGCATCCTTGATGTTTTAATGTTCCTCACCCCTTCCCAATCAAAACAAGCTGAGGATTTCATCTGCTACCAACATAGTTTAACTTGTTTTTAGAACTAGAACTTGTTCTGATTTTGCCAGGCTTCTTTCTTGCTTATTCTGCATCTTTAGCTCTTATTTTCCAGATTTAATTACTTGCAGGTGTTTTTCTGTATCCCTTTTGTGAATCTATATCCCAAATCTCTGTCCCTTTGTGGTTCCATATTATTCGTATAATTAGCTGTGTTACAAATTCCTTGTATGTAATTGCTGGGTTTGCTGTTTTAGCGTGCTTATGTCTGGGTTCAAGGCAAGCAAATATTGATTATACCATGCTTAGTATACTTCTACTTGTAGAAGTCTTCCACCTTGGTATGCTTCCTGTCAATGATGGGATGGAAACTCAGTTCCTTATGCCTTGATTCTGAACCCACAGTGTCAAGCTCTGCTGGCTCAAGGCTAGGTACTGCCTCAGAGCAAGAAGGTGGAATGTCACCCAGCTCCAGTCTTGTCTCATGGTTTTCCTGCAAAATCCATCTAGGTCTTTTGCAGTTGTATAGACCCAGATAGCTGCAGGGTCTTCTATCACACACTACAAGGCATACTGCAACCTGTAACAAAAAGACAACTAGTTAATACATAGGTAATGATTAATGGTTAAAATAACACATTATTCTTGTACCAGTACTTGACTGTCCTCTAAAAATGTCATGGTTGAATCACGGTTTCTGCATCTGTTCCAAATCTTAGTGGCTTTTGATTCTCTAAAGTAATATGTCCTTTCACTGCTTGGTGCCTATTCATGAAATTTTTTTAGCTATTTGCTCTATTTGCTGTGATTCCTTAACATTTTTGTTATAAAGATTCCAAATTAGCCCCAGGTTGGTGGTGTTCCGGGTGTTATAATTCTGGTGATATGGGTGAATATTGCAAATGTTTACCCTAAATTAGATAGATGAGAAATGTTTCACACTTATTTCTCTACACATAGCACAGTTTTCTGGCAATTCCTACTGAAACAGATGCAGAGAAACAATAACATGTATCCATATCTGGTGTCATAGATCCTAGAATCATTAACCGCTAATTGACTCCACATACAAGTAGTTACTGCTATTGTAGGAGCAATATTCTGTTTCCATTGTGGGGGCTTCTTCAGACTGCATT